CGTAATCCATCGCACAATTAACGACGGACTGAACTGTCGGTTTCTGTCCCATTTTGCGACAGAAATAATCGGCTGTAATTCGTCGCAGTGCAGTGCGACTGACCGTAATCCGTCGTCACGTTCGGAAATCAAGAAAGCGACGTATACACGACGGATAGATTCCGTCGGTATTGTTTGCTACGGATCAGTCCGTCGTAAAGTGCGACAAACAGAAAAGCGACGGTCTACGACGAACTTCTTATCCGTCGGTAAATAATGACGGATAACGACTACTGTTTTCCGTCGTATTTGTGCGACGACTAACCGACCGAAACAAATTTGCGACAGCTCCGTACCGACGGATTTGTCCCCGTCGTTATCCGTCGCAATGAAGTTGTTGCGACAGATATTTGTTCGCTGTGCGACGGATATTTCCGTCGCATATGCATTGTATTTTTGTAGTGTCAGGTCTAGTATAATTAGTTAGATATATTAAACTACCAATGATCTTTGAATATTCCACTTGAGAAACTGGATCACCTCGATTTTTACCTAGATGACAACTAATGTCGACAAGTGTTCTAGTTGGAACACAATCAAACTGATTGAATTTCTTAAGAACAATCTCAACATCAGATTGACTCATGTCTTTCATGTTAAAATGTTTCTTCAAAATTTTCTTTGTATTCATGATTATATCATGAGTACTTACGAAGATTAACATATCGTCTACATATAAACATACAATAACATATTTATTTGCATTATTTTTAATGTAGACGCATTTATCGCATTCGTTGATTTTTAATCCATTTGCCAACATCGTTGTATCAAATTTAGCATGCCACTGTTTAGGTGTTTGTTTTAAACCGTAAAGGGATTTAACTAGCTTGCACACTTTTTTTTTTCTTTTTCGGGAACCACAAACCCTCCAAGTTGATGCATGTAAATTTTTTCTTCCAATTCGCCATTCAAAAATACAGTTTTTACATCCATTTGATGTATTTATAAATTGTATAGCACTGCTATAGCAATTAATACCCTTATGGACGTAATTGGAGTTACTGGAGAATAAGTATCGAAGAAATCATGTGTTTCGATCTGTTTGTACCCTTTGGCTACTAGTCTAGCCTTGTATTTATCAATTAATCCATTTGATTTATATTTTCTTTTTAGGATCCATTTACATCCTAGAGGTTTACATCCCGGTGGGAGATCAACTAACTTCCAAGTATGGTTATGCATGATGGACTCAATTTCGCTATTTACAGCTTCTTTCTGGAACGGAGCTTCTGGACTTGAAAATGCCTCTTGCAAAGTTCTCGGTTTATTTTCTACTATATATGATAGAAAATCAAGACCAAAAGACTTTTTCACTTTTGTCCTTTTACTATTTCTTTGTTCGTCTTAGTCAGATGACTCAATTGCAGTTTTGTATGTTCTTTTGTTAGAACTTATTTCTTCACACCTCTTGGCCGGAAAAATATCTTCAAAGAATACTGCATTTATGGACTCAATCGTCATTCCTTCAGTTAGTTGAGAAATTTCATATTTATGTACCAAAAAGCGATAAGCACTACTGTTTTGTGCGTATCCAATAAAGATACAGTCGACAGTTTTAGGTCAAATCCTAACTTGTTTAGGCTTAGCCAAACATCCCAACGCTTTGAGGTATTTGTAGGATGGTTGTCATCTTTTTCATAACTCATATGGAGTGATATTCATTGTTTTATGGAGAGTCTTATTGAGAATATGATTTGCTGAAAGTATAACTTCCCCCCACAAGTTTTGAGGTAGTCCTGAACTTATAAGCATTTCATTCATCATCTCCTTAAGAGTACGATTCTTACGTTCAACAATTCCGTTCGATCGTGGAGAGTATGGAGCCGTAGTTTGATGGATTATTCCAGACTCGATACAGAACTTCTCAAAAGGTGATACATATTCTCCACCTGTATCACTTCGAATCATTTTGATTCTAGCATTGTGTTGGTTTTCAACCTCGTTCTTATACCTTTTAAAAGCATCTAGAGCTTCATCTTTACTTCTTAAAATATATATTACACAATACCTTGTACAATCATCAATGAATGTGATGAAATACTTTTTACCACCTCTTGTTTGTACAAACTTCAAATCACATATATCGGTGTGAATTAATTCAAGAGATTTCGTAGATCTTTCCACTGAGTGAAAATGCGTTTTTGTCATCTTTGTTTTAACGCAGACTTCACACTTTTATGAGTCTATTTTGAACTTTTAATGAGTTCCAAGTTTACAAACTTTCTCAATGTATTGTAGTTTATATGTCCTAATCTATCATGTCATAAATTAGAACACTCAGTCAAATAGGAAGAACTCTTGACTTTATTATCAAGATTACGAACAGTCATTACATTGAGTTTGTAGAGCCCCTATCGAGGTATCCTCTTCCTACATATAGTCCATTCTTGGACAATACAACTTTGCTAGATTCTATAACTAGCCTAAATCTTGCCTTGTCTAGTGGGGACCTGGACACAAGGTTCTTACGAATGTCTGAGAGATGCAGAACATCAATGAGCTTAGCTCCTTCCCAGATGTCATCTTCAACACCACTCTTCCAAGTCCAACTATCAGAGTTGTCTTCCTCTATTCAAAGTCTCACGATCAAGTCTTCAAGCCCCATCTCCTTGTGTTTATGCTTGAGAAAGTTCTTGAAATCTTTTTACATCGGTGGCAACTTCTCAATGATAGCAGGCACTTGGCTATTCACTCAACTTCATTCCTTCACAAATGATTTCGTGAAGAATGCATTGTATTTCTTGCACTTGGTTGATCAACGACTTGGCGCCAACCATTTTGAAGTCGAGGAATTTTCTGACGACAAATTTCTATGTGACAGCATCCTCCGTTTTGTATTTTTTCTCTAAGGACTCCAAGAGTTCCTTAGCTCTCTTGAATGGACTGTATATATTATACAACGCTTCATCCAATCCATTTAACATATAATTTCTGCATAGAAAATCTCCATGGATCCATGCATCATATGCATTCTTTCTTTCTGTATTGGTTCCCTCATCTGAAACCACATGTGGTTCCTCGGTGAGAAAATGAGCCAGGCTAAGAGTGGTTAGATAGAAAAACATCTTCTGCTGCCACCTCTTAAAGTCCACACCATTGAACTTTTTTGGCTTCTCCCCCTGTGTAGGAATAGATCCTACCGGGATCGTTTCTTGGGCAGAAACAGATCATATCGGAAAGCTTACATGTGCAGGTACAATTCCTAGTCCAGGAACAGACCCTAGTGGAGCACTTGAAACACTATCCATGTCTTATAGACACAAATTTCGTCTTGAGAATGTTGAATCCGTTGATGTGCGATTCTGAAATTCAAAAGAATTTCTAGAAGAAAAAAAAAAGAAAATTTTGAAGTAGGTTAAGTCGAGCCTTGTGTTCTACACAATCTTCTCAAGATGAAATTGCATCGTTATTAAGTGGTTACGGTTTATGGCAATCGTTTCCAAGATACAACGACTTACGATTCTATAAAAACATCACCTCTTTTAGAGAATCCAACAAACTACGAAAGTTCAAAACTCTTTAAAGAAAAAGGTTTTGGATTATTTTTTTCTGAAAAGAAGAAAGCACTCAGAAAAAATGGAATACAGAAAATGATCCTATAGACGCTCTATTTATAATATTCAGGGGTTGCTATGAAAACACGTGAAGGAAAAGGTTTCATCCTTTCATCCAGCGGTTCTATCCGAATCGTTCCAAAAAGAAACATTTCATCAAAAAAGCATTGGTTCGGAGCCCAACCATCCTACATCGGCGCAAACTTTTAACTTTTAAATCCCACACCGAAACGTTATTCTCTGAATCGAATAGTCCCAAATGGAACTTTCAATTCAAATTTTATACGTTCCGCTCAGAGAACTTTGCTCGTTTTCTCCCAAAGAGGAAAAAGTGAGACCAAGCCTTTTTAGCTTTAGTAAACTTTGAGTTTGGACATTGTTGATTCAAGGAGAGTTCTTTTTATAAGGAAGTCCCCTACTTCCTCTTGGCCAAAACTTTCGATGTGGGACAAACATACATATAAGAAAGCTTCCTTACTTGTACTTTGTCATTTTTCCAATGTAGGACAACTGTTATTCCCCCACATTTTACATTTCTTTTAGATAACCACATTTAAATATTCATTTCTCATTCAGTACAAATTGGTTTTAAAATATTCAAAGTGCTATAATTATCTACTCAAATAGTAGATTTCAAATATAACATTTATCCAATTTTTCTGACAGATACATGTCGAAAAATGATTCTACTCATACGCTATCGTTCAATACGGGATTCTATTTTTGCGTTATCGTTCATCTTGTTTCTTTGTACACTAAATCTTGATGAAAGTCATATCTTGATTGAGTAAGTTCAACAAAGTCTTTCTGACGTACCAAGAGACGACGGAGATGACGAGGTCTCGCAAACTCCGGCAAGCTCTGGCGATCGAGAGGAAGGGTTGGCGACTCGATGCGAAACTAACACATAGGTTTTCTAGGGACAGACGATGCGAGAAAATAGAAGACAAGAAAAAGAAAGTTAAGAGTTTTATTATTTTCAAAGGTATTTTTGGACGTTTTCTGTAAACGCTTCGAAATGCTGTCAAAATGCATGTGAGAAGCAGCATTTTGATTTTTGAAGTTTGGTTGCTGTTACATTTCGCTGCGGTTGGACCATTCAGTTTCGCAACCGCCACCAACCACCACAAATCACAATTGTCCGTCGTTTACAGTTGTTGGTAGTGGTACAACCAATCACCCGTTAATCGATTTTGTTTTGTGGTAATAGTATAAATATTAGTAGGCTCTATCACTTTCACTAGTCAGTTATGTATATATGTAACCGAGAGAGGGATAAACTAGGGCAAAAATTAGACAGCATTAAGCGCCGGATGTTATCCTATGCATGATGCATAACCACGCATGGCCTTTTAATATTACTAACCCTCTATTTATTTATTATCAATAGCAAGAGGAACTACAAAACAGAAACAAAGGGGATCTCCACTTTCCATCTGAAGCTTGTAAAACAAGTTACAGGAAAACCTAATCTCAAAAGTCAAGTGAATTGTTTGACGAATAAAATGTCAGCAGAGAGTTTGCGAGGAAGCTGATGAAGTTGTACACCTTCTTGCCAAGCTTGCCCCACGCAGACACCAGGGCCTATATGCCGAACGTATATCACAACATTGTCGCTGAATGGATATGGATGCTTCCCTTCACCGGCCCCCAAAAAAAAAAAAAAAAAAAACTTTATAGTGTGAATAATGTGAATTCATTTTCTTCAAATGGCGTGAACTCACGTGGTTGAGGAAAGCCTTGAGGGTGATGTTCTTCAACGCCAAGCAGCCCATCCCCAAACTCTAACGCCACATCGCAAGGCTCCTCAGTGGACATCACTTCCCTAGCGTCGTCTGTGACCTTGAAGTATAAGGGGCTCAAGCTTGAAACTAGAGCCCCACCTTCATTATGATATTTCTCGTTAAACAGCTTCACGACAGTGATACTTGCACATTCGTGAGAGAATCATATTCTCGGATTCGGACTTACCACTGATTCGCCCGAAAATTCTGCCGCTGTTCGAACGAAACACAGCCTGCCAAGGAAAATCAAAGAGTGTATACATAAGTCAAAACAGTACAGGAGAGGAGGGTGCAGCAAAATAGGGACAGAGACGGTGGAAAAATCAGACAGACTAACCATCCTGAAGGAATTTATCCAAGATATGGTGAATGGGCCTGTATAATAAGGGAGGGGGTAACAATACATTAGAGGTTATAGCACAACATATCGACATGCAAACCGATGCACTTTCTTGGATTGTTAATCGGTTACCCTGACTTGTTCGGCAGTTAAAGTATTCAAGCGAAGTTTCAGAGCTTTCGGCAGAGAGCAACTTCGACGAAGTCTTCTTCGCCAACTTTGGATCTTCATATCGTGCGCTCGATATCTGCCAAGCTCTTGATATAAGCCTGCGCATAAACTACCCTCATGAAGAAGACCGGCATATACAGGCGTAAACAAACATGAAATCATTCCGGATTTATTTTCCATCATACTTCAAGGGCAATGGCACATGAAGAAATCCAATCATTTCAAGAAGCAAGACTTCATCCATGCATGACAGCAATATATATAATCTGTAGAAGCAAAGATCGATAAAAGCTTCAGTAAGAATGACCTAGGCTCTAGCAGTTGCAGCAAACGGTGGCGCCTCTCTTCAGGGATATCTTCAATCTTTTTCCTGCACAGTATCATCGTAAATTTACAATAAGAGGCAGGAGAATTCAAAATGAGATAGATATATAGCCAATAGCATGAATCGAAGGTAGCGGTGGTAGCCTCTAATGAATGGCATCCACTCTTATTCTTATCCATTTGCTTGGAAATACCAAACACAGTCATGACTCAAAACTAAAATTAGGGCAGATCTAGTATTCTGAGAATCTCCATCTAACAATGAGACAGTAATCGGATTTGCACACAACATCACTTGCAACCAAGTGAGACCTATCCATAGATCCAAGCTACAAAACATACATCATTTAATCCAAGATGGTTGCTTTACACATGCAAAGCAGGTGGAGATCAATGAGACTACTGACCAAAGATAAGCAGCTGGGTTATATGAAGCAGGATCCAATGGAATCAATTCCTTAGGAGGATCAAGAAATGTGACAACATCTGCTTCATCTATGTAAGCTCTTTTACCAGTGGGAAGAACTTCATAGGGCTGAGACTTCTCTCCATGAACCGCTTGACCAACCAGAGCCACACCACGAGACGGCCCTGGAGAAATAGATATGAGTTAAACCTACGACAAAAAGGACTGAACTTGACCTTCTACATCAACAACAAATTCCCATAGAAGTGAATCCAAGGACCCTATTCACCATTTTCTCTAAGTAAGAAAAACTGGAGCTGGAGACAGAGATGGTTCACCAAACCAATAGCAAAAGACACCCAAAAGGCAAAAACTTGATTGTCCTCTTCATCTCTCATTTCTACTTGTGGTTCCAACTCCATTTTCATCTCTTGCATCTTTAGTTATCTTCGTCCACAGAGATAAAGCTCATTACCCTTGTTACAGTTTCATATCGATGACAGGAGCTCAACTCACCATTGGAGAGTAAAAAGCCGAGTCGACTCGATGGATTCCGGCGAACAGAGCCGCGAACTGCCGTCAGAGGGATCGCCGGAGCGCGTGCTAGCCAATTCTCCCGAACCGCCACTATCATCTTTTCCGCGGCGACACCGATTTTTTTTTTTTAAAGAAGAAAATTAAAAACGAGTCTGATTCTGCTGCGACGGTTTCCTTTATTTCGGCCACGCCTCAATGGATCGGCCCAAGGCCCTTCCAAGAACTCCTTGGAAAATACAAACCCAAATATTGGGAAGAAGAAAATCGTGAAGGTTCCTTCGCCACGGCAATGGCTTTTAATCGAAAGTTCCAGTTTTCATAAAAGGGTTTTTTTCCCCCTGAATTGCGAGTTCTGCAGCAGGCGAGATTTTGGACGCGAAGCACACACGGCTGTGAACGGTGATGATGATGCAGATGCAAATAGTCGTTGTTTATTGACTTTGCCTTCAAGTTCCTCTCTAATTAAGGAAGATTTATAGGCTGCTTCTTCAATTGGTGTTCTTCTTGCTATATAATGTTACATTTCTACTGTATTCATCAAATCTATAGAGCTTCTTACTGAACAAGTGTGTGTGTTTTCTATTCCTAGGCAGCCGCTGTGTTTATTGCATTGGGGCCCGTAAAGGGTATGTTGTTCCACTGCTCCATCAAGAGATTGGTTCTCACTTGGACAGGACATGCTTCAAGCAAGGTCTTTCAATACGCACAACTGTTTCACGACATCCCTCATCGACGGTCTGTTTGATGGCTCCTTCTCCGTACACCTCAGTGACAATGCCGTCACTTCCGTCACTTGTTCTCTCACACCCGAATCCAGAAGCTCGTCCACGAGGCTTGGATCGAGTATTCCTGTGATGTCTTGGTCGTTATTTTTGCTTCTGCTCAAGATGGATCTAACCCAGCTCACGATATCAGTATCCTCGGGGAACCATCTGTCCAATGCTTTCTTTCTTGTTATCAACTCGAGCAGTACTACTCCGTAACTGTACACGTCTGATTCCTTGCTCCTCACTGTCTTGAAGGCGTTTTCTGTAAAGTTTCGCAGCAATAAATACAAATTCGGTACATCATCGTCAGCTAAGGTAAATCTGAAGATAATTCTCAGTAGAGAGAGAGAGAGGAGACTTGCCTGGTGCAATGTATCCGATGGTACCAGTAACAGTGGCTGGGGGAACAGAGGGGGCGGCGCGAGCCAAGCCAAAATGCCCGATGTGAGGCTCCATATCCGAGTCAAGAAGTATGTTTTCTGGTTTGATGTCTCGGTGAACAATGGTGGGATGGCAGTCATGATGTAGATACGCTAATCCATGAGCCACCCCGAGAGCTATGTTGAACCGTATGGACCATTCTAGATCAATATGTTCTGGCTTTCCCATGTGTAAGATATCGTGAAGGCTACCGTTTGGCATGAACCTGTACAGCATTAGACCGTGTTCTTTCCTTAACCAAAACGCTTCTAGCCGAACGAGGTTTCTGTGTCTGACTTCTCCGATGGTCTGGATTTCCCGGATCATACTCTGGTTTGCATGTTTATGTTGCGAGAAGACGAGTTTTTTCACTGCATACTCTTTGTCTGAACTCAAAGTGGCTCTGTAAACAGTTCCATGTGCTCCTCTTCTTGCTGCAAGAACTTTTGTCAGCAACAATGGTGGACCGTCTTCTCCGAAGACATACTCATCTTTCTTCGTTCTTTTCCGTCGGAGGAATATGAAAACAAAAGCAAGAACCGAGATGACAACGATTAAAGATGACCCGGCTGCTATAAGGGCGATTTGCCATTTGCTAAGGCCACCATTGCTGCTGCCAACTTGATCATTACAAGCTCTAAGCTTGCTGTTGGTTCCGTTCGTCAAAACAATGGAGGAAGAAGACGGGATGCAGAGGTCAGGATTTCCTGAGAACAATGATGGATCTGAGATCAACTTTTTCATCAAGTTTTCAGGTATCGGACCCGTGAACTGATTATACGAGATATCGACTAGGTCTAGTGAATCGAGACCTTCAAGAACTGACAAAGAACCCGTCAAGTTGTTGTTCGATACATTGAGCCGTACAAGCTTGTCCAGATTCCCCAGCTCAAATGGGATTCGACCTGTTAGTCGGTTTCCACTAAGATCCAATCCATACATCAAACTCCGCAATGAACCAATCCACGTAGGAATCTCGCCTCCAAAGGGGTTATCAGCGATACGCAGGTCAGACAATGATCCAAGTTCTTCCAAGAAAGATGGAATGCCGCCTGAAAACCAGTTTCCACTGAGAACAAGAGTGGATAAGCTTCTCCAGCTCCTAAAACTCGATGGAATCGAGCTATTCAACGAGTTGAAACCCACGTCGAAAAGCTGAATGCTTGCACATCGTGATAGCTCAGATGGTAGAGACCCTTCTAGAAGGTTGTGTGAAAGATTCAATTCCACGAGGTTCTTCAGATTGCCGAGTTCTGGAGGTATCTGACCCTTGAGCTTGTTTTGAGACAAGTTGATAGTTGTGAGGTTGCTACAGTTCCCCAAGCTCGGTGGAATCGATCCTTCAATGCTGTTTTTGCTGATATCGACGAGAAAAAGGATATTATTCGGAGAAAGATGTGGAAGAGTGCCTGAAAGGTTGTTGTCTTTGAGTATCAATCTCCACAGGGTTCTACATGAACCGATGGAAGACGGTATCTTACCGTGAAGTTGATTAGGACCCAAGTTTAGAACCCTCAATCTCTTTCCATGGCAGAGATTTGGAGGAATCTCTCCTGTAAGATTGTTACCAAGCAAATCTACCTCCTCTAAGGAACTGTTAACTCCTAAACCCGAAGGTATCACTCCGTAGAAGCTGTTGTTGAACAATGTAATGCTCTTTAGATTCTTCAGCTCGGTCATTTCCACAGGCAGTTCCCCGGTGAGATTGTTGGTATAAACTTGGACCCTTTTAAGGCTCTGAATCTTCCATATACCCAAAGGAATCTCACCAGACAACCGGTTTTCGAACAATTCCAGGCCTTCAAGTTTCGTAAGCTTAGCCAACGTGCTCGGTATCTCACCTTCGATTTGGTTGCCGTTCAACTTCAACTTCTTCAAGTTCCTGCAGTTTCCGAGCTCAGAAGGAATATTCCCTGAGAGACGATTCTCGGAAAGATCAAGAACCGAAAGATTCTGTATCATACCCAATGAAGAAGGGATTGAACCTGTCAAGTTGCTTTTCACAATGGATAAAGTGTTGAGGCTACTGCAATTGCCTAGCTCTGGTGGAATACCGCCTTGGAAGTGATTGTTCGACAAATCTAATGTCACCAAGTTCTTGCAATTCCTAGAACCAAACCGAATCTGTCCTCCGAGACTGTTGTTACTTACAAACAGGTCGATGAGATCCTCAAGAAGATTGAGACTTTCAGGCAAAGAACCAACTAACTGGTTGTCGTTCAGATACAGAGTCTGCAGCTTTCTACACTTCCCAATCGACTCGGGAATCATACCAGAAAGGTTATTGCTATAAAAATACAGTTCCAAAACCTCCTTCAAGTCTCCCACATTTGCAGGAATCGGACCAGTGAGATTGTTTTCTTCGACATACAGATACTGCAACACCGGATTTCGAAACAAGGATTCAGGCAACTCACCGGAGAGTGAGTTTGAGGAAAGATAGAGGAACACCAAGCTTCTCAAGTTACCGAAACTCTCAGGAATCTTACCAGAGAACCCATTTCCAGACAAATCGATGTACTCAAGTGAAGAACAGTTTCCTAAAGTGGAAGGTATAATGCCATAGAAACTGTTCGTACTGAGATCCAGAACCTGCAAGTTCTTGAGCTCACCAATTTCAGGACCCAGTTGGCCAGAAACCCCACAAGTAGTGAAGTTAAGAGAAATCACACTGCGAGATTCATCACAAATGATACCAAACCATTTACATGGAGTGGATTCAGATGCGTTCTTCCTCCATGTCGAAGTTACAGAAGGTGGTACCTTATCTAAGTGCTTCAGAAGCGAGAGTAAAGCGGACCCTTCTGGGTTCAGACAGGAAACGGAATCTATGCAGATAGAGACAAAGAAACAGCAAAGTAGAAGAATTTTGCCCGACCCAATATTCTTCATATCTAATAGATCAAGGAACGAAAACCAGGATCGATAGAGGTTGAAAATTGTCAAACTCTTCACCAACCCGAAGCCGGCATTTGAAGAGAGAGAGAGACACAGAGAGAGAGAGAGAGAGAGAGAGAGAGAGGACAGAACTTGGTCGAAGGGAGTTAATGGATCAGAACAAGGGCATTAATAGACAAAGGTAAGTAGTTTGGTCGGTGTTTCAATCAGATATGGTGAACTTTAACCATAAGAACAATCAACGCGGCTTCCCTGGTTTTTCCGCCGCCATTTCTTGCTTTCCAATACACACGATCTTTACTCTTTTTTTTCATTTATTTTATATTTTGTCAATTTCGTTCAGTATTTCATGTGGAAATTTCGAGGATTTTACCCTTTTTTATTCAGAATTGAGCACGAGTTTCTTCTCTCATCATCGAAAGATTGTTCCACAAGCGAGACAGTGTCTTCATCCTGGAATCTCAGGAAACTTATGGCGATAAAATCCTTGGCTCACAATTTTATCAAAGTGAAAATTGGAGATGGCAAATCTACCCTTTTCTGGTTTGATAACTGGACCGTCCCTTGATTGAGTTTGTCGGGGAACTTGGGCCCCGTCTCTTGAGGTTGAACAGATATGCGACGGTTGCCGATGTTGTGTCTGCTGGAAATTGGTCACTTCCCCCGGCTAGATCGGACAGCATACAGGAGCTTCTTATCTCGCTGGCGGAAGTCCGACCCCCATCGGCAGAAGCTGGGGACGACACTTTGTTGTGGAAACATGAAGCTCACGACTTCAAACGCTTCTTCTCGTCTGCCAAAACATGGAAGCAGATTCGTCAATCAAAACCGAAGGTTGACTGGCATTCATTGGTATGGTGTCGTGGGTCTGTACCCAGGTATGCATTCTTATTTTGGCAGACCATGCAGCAGCGACTCCCTACTAGGGATCGATTGCGTCGATGGGGTCTACAAACGGATGACAAGTGCGTGTTATGTGGAGTAGAGGAGGAATCCCACCACCACCTTTTCTTCGAGTGCTCTTATAGTGCCAATCTATGGCTCTATTTTGCTTCTTGCTGTTGGAGTTCGCCGCCGGATAATCTATACGACTGTCATACTTGGATTACTCAGGTCGAAAATGACAGGGGCAAAAACAGGGAAATTCTCTCGAAACTGATCCTACAAGTGACGGTACATCTGCTGTGGAATGAGCGTAACAACAGGATATTTTGGAACATAACGAAGCCGATAGATATATTGCGTAGGCGCTTGGATAAGACGATGCGGAACTTACTACTCTCGATGAAGGAGAGGAGGGCTACAGACAGCAATTTTCTGCTGGAGCATTGGTATTTCCTAACTGATCGTTTGAGAATGTAACTTTTGTTGAGCGTCTGGGTTACTTTAGTCTGGGTTATTTTAGTCCAGCTTTTGAATCATTTTGTCATGGGATCTCCTTGTATTAGGTTGCTACGAGCAGTCATAGTTAAGGACTGAATGTAAATTTTTGCTACTACAGATATGAATATTCAATCACATTTTACCAAAAAAAATAAAAAGATTGTTCCAATGCAAGAATTTCCTGTCCTTTGATAATGTAAATATAGATTTTATGGTTGTAGAAATAACAAAAAAGAAGCTTGGGCAAAATGACGAAGAATGAGTTATGAAGAAAAATGAGACTTAGTCATTTGTTCATCTTATCTTATTTCTTTATGCAATAATTTTGTTATATACACACGAGATTACAAGGGCTATAGAATGAATTACATGGAAAGAATAAAATACATACATCAATCTAATCTAATCGTGACAAATTTGTGATATCCATTAAGCCTTGATCCACGTGATTGCTTCCTTGATATTAAGATTCTCAAATGACTCATTGAGTAAGTGCTCCACATTCCTTATTTGATTGTCTTTAGTGAATACGGTAAGCTTGCGTCGATTATAAACATGAGAGTGTAGAATTCTTTTATGACAAGGACTTCTCGTTCATATCGAGCATAAGAGATTATACTTCAACATTACCCTTCAAGATTAGCTTTGAAAAATGTTGAAAAGTTAATCTTGAAGATTGAGTGTCTTTATGATTGTATTGAATGTCTTCAAGTATTCCATCCTCTTCCATATAGGTTTCATTGTTTTCAAAGTTTTATTTTTCTGCATTGACTCAAATAAAACGTTAGAGAACATATCGGAGGCCATAGTACTCCGTTTAATACCTAAAATCGTATATAACATTGCAAGTATATGATTTCTATCAAATAAAAACAAGAAAAGTGTTATAGCGTGCTTATTCTTTGCTAGACGGGTTTTTATGTCAAACATGCAAAATATCATTCTTTCGATAAAATAATTTATATTGGAGTTGAAATACATGAAATGATCACGAAAAATATGAAACTTGTAATCAATGGAATTATACATATCATATTTATATTTATGCACGTTTCTATCTATTATGTGATATTTTTCATCAAGACATGCATTCTCAAATGAATCGGGATCAAATATAAAATTATGAGATGAAAGTTTACCTAACCTAAAGTGTTCATAACTAATAGGAAATTCAACCTCTGTTTTGAACAGATTTGAATCATTTGTTGCTTGCTTTGATGTTTCTCCATTTGATGCATTGTTTTCGCTTGGAAAGCACACGAGGATACCGTCACATTCCCCCTCACTCGTGTACTTGGAAAGCTTGAAGAATCCCTCATGTAAAGGCTGATGAAGAATGTTCAACAACCTACAAGCGTTATATTTAAAAAATAAATCAAAGTGTATAGGACAAGAGAAAAGAGTACAAACTCTAGTGCTTATCCATATGAATTCGATTCTCGGGTTTCTTTGAGGTGATGGAAAGAGTTCTATCTCGGATGTGTTTGGATCCTCTTTATCGTGTTTTATTCCCTCTTTTTTGGGGCTTGCCAATACAATATCTATTTCTTCTTTCTCCCGTTTCTCCTCTTTGATGCTAACCGTATGAGTTGCATGGATAGGAAAAGGCAAAGTCTCCTCGAGTAGTGGATGCTCTTGGGACATTATGTCCTCTTTGCGGCTCTCCACCGAATTCTCTTGCTTGTGTCTTCCTTCCACTTTGTTTTCGGTCTCTTTTTCCTTTTTGACCAACTTTCTTGCGTTTTCTTCTTTCCTTTTTTCCATCATTTGACATTAGAGGTAGAAAGAGATTCAAGGAGAGAATACGTTACTTGTATATTGTATTCTATGATCGTTGATAATAAGGTCTCCTTGATGTCCAATGGGAGATGGTCAAAGACGTTGTCATCCACATCCCATTCCCCCTCATTTTGCTCTTCCAAATATGGTATGTCATCCACACACATGGCTTGAACTTCTTCTATGGAGAAGTTATTCCATGTGTCAACCTCTTCCTTTGGACACCAAAATTATTCTACAACACCATTAGCATTTTCGATGTATGAACAATGATTTCCTTCTTCATCTTCAAGGCCTCCAAGATCATTCCAAGTAGACCTCATGTGACCTTTTTATGGCGGATGAATAAGGATAAAAAAACTCGAATTCTCCTTGGCTTGAAAGAATAGTCTAAAAAAGGCAAAATTTGAAAATAACACGAGCAGACTCGTTCTCGCTTTCAATGGATACCGGAAGAGAATTTGCTTTGATGTTTTCAGCGGAAAACTAGACTTTTGGAACCTTAGACCTTAGTGTTCTGATACTATAGATTTTATGGTTGTAGAAATAGCAAAAAAAAAAAAAGCTTGGGCAAAATGATGAAGAATGAGTTATGAAGAAAAATGGGACTCAGTCCCTTGTTCATCTTATCTTATTTCTTTATGCAATAATTTTGTTATATACACACGAGATTACAACGGCTATAGAATGAATTAAATAGAAAGAATAAAATACATATTTTCAATCTAATCTAAATGTGACAAATTTGTGATACCATTAAGCCTTGATCCACGTGATTGCTTCCTTGATATTAGATTCTCAAATGACTCATTAAGTGCTCTACATTCCTTATTTGATTGCCACGTCATTGATTTGTATAATGTATCATTTCCTTTGTTGCATTCCAAATCTTCAGTGAATACGGTAATCTTGCGTCGATCATAAATATGAGAGTGTAGAATTTTTTTATGAGAAGGACTCCTCGTTCGTTTCGAGGATGAGATATTATACTTCAACAGTAAATAGGCACAAATTAAGAACGATAGAGACATCCAGTGTAGGAGTAGGATGGTGGCAAGAGGAGCACACACCATCAGATTTCAAATTCTATCTGGGTCAAATATTATTTAAAAAAACGATAGAGACTTTGATTATGTCTTTTATTGCATTTATTTTTATTATAGAAAAAAATCTAAATAAATATATTCGAATCTTTTTTTGTCAAGTATATTCAAAATTTACCCGCAAATATATGAATAAAAATAAAAATAAAATAAATTAAAATTAAAATTAAATAAAAATAAAAAAGTACATATATATACATTTATACATACACATACAAATATAAACACACATACTATATATACATATACATACAAAATAAAATAAAAATAACAAATATATACACATATATACATATATATATGTATAGATGTATATATATATATGAATATGTATGTGTGTATATATATATATATGGTTATATATACTTGTTTATGTATATTGTATGAAGGTGTATATACATATATGTGTGTGCTTTGTATGTAAAAATTAAAATAAAAATATATGCATACATATATACATATACATTTATATGTACAGGTACATATATATCCACATATACATACATATACTTATATACATATACATATATATCCACACACATATATATATATGTACATATATATGCATATACTTATAATATACATATGTATATGTATATACGTGTTTATATTTGAATATATATATATATGTATGTATATACATGTATGCATATGCGTATATATTTTTATTTTTATTTTTTATTTATACTATGTGGTAAGGTATGAAAACTCTCCTTGAGCCGATCAGTTTTACGAGGCTGGTTTACTTACTCTGCATGGTTTGCCGGCTACTGCGTAGGGCGGTGGGTTTTCTCATATCCGCAATGTTGTCCTGATGTCGTTCTCGTCCGTCTCATGGGTTGAGAGACGATGCGGTGTCCGGTGTCCGACCGAAAGGGTTGTAGGATAGGGATTTCCTATCGTAACAAAAAAAAAATGATGACGTTTTAACCACATTAACATGTCAATTGATAGACATCAAAGAATATTAATGTAATTTGACGTCGTAGAACATTATAATAAATTTTAGGTTTTGCGATAGATTTTAGTATATTTTGATGTAATTTTATGTAAAATTAAAATTTTGCGTAGAAATTTGGCATGTTTCCACAAATTTGTGTGGAAATATGCTTTTTTCAATATTTTTTGCCGTTTATTTTTTTTTATGTGTCCACATCGTATATAAATATCATTGGTGTTTAAGTTATCTATTTTCTATCTTTATTATTACATATTATCGTTTAGGGTTTACATTGATAATTTTTTTTTTTTGACAAAATCGTATATTAATACATAAATTTATAAAACAATTCTAAATAAATATATAAATTTTAAAATTTCCGAAAAATACACATTTTTTCTTAACTTTTACATTAAAATAAAAATTTTAAAATATTTTTCAAAAGCCATAATATCATGATGGTATTTGGGAGTTATTTAAAATTTTAAATTTTAATTTCATAACGGTTTTTGAAAATCATTTAAAAGTTTATCATTTATTTTTATTATTTTAAAAAAATATAGAGTTTAGTATAAGAGTTAAAAAGAATTTATATATTTATTTGATAATTTTTGAAGTTTATATATTTTTTTGAGATTTTTTTACAAATTCATGTATTAATATTAGGTGTGGACACGGACGAGATATACAGGATTTTTGAGATATCAGTATTTGTATCTAATCTAAACAAATATCCAATTTTGTTATCTGTATCCGATCCATAATTTTCGAATATCTGCAATTTCGGATATCCATAAAAATCACGTATATTTGCGGATATCCGTATCAGATCTAAAACGTTATAAAATTTTAAATTAAAATTAAATAATAAACTCAAACACAAATAAAATATATAATCTATTTAATATAAATGATATTTACAATTTAAACTTCATAATTTAAACATTTCAAATCAATTTAAATATAAATACAATCATATATAATCTATCGTATATAAATATATTCAAAGTTCAAAATTCAA